CGGCGCATCAGATTTTGAAGCAAAGGGATCAACTGCAGCTACATTTTCACTAGATGTCCCTTCATAAGCGGATCTCCTCCAATCACCTTCACCTGCATCAACAAAATCAGAAGCAAACATTAAAACGATAATAATCACCTCGTGGATTACCGTGTCTTGAAAAATAACTGTAGTTTCAGCATAGAGGTAATATATTTCTAGGCCGCACTATTAAAGAGCGGATCCTCATCTTCTATGGAATCACCTATCATCGAGGGAAATTTCTATTTCTATTTCTTGAAGGCTAGCTTCTCTATCATCATGCTTGCTCGGGCTACCTCATTGATGTTCGAGAGGCGCAATTGATCCTTGGTCATCTCATCCTTCAACATCTAGGTGATTGTTGCCTCAATGGTGTATTGCACGACCAAATATGGCAACCACTCAACATCACCTTAGTGATATCCATATCTTACGGAAGGGACTTCACCTTCTCCCCTATCAGTTTGAATAGTTTGGACTGAGCACCTCAGTCGCCAGAGCATGAACTGACCAAAAATTTTTCCTCAAATCTTTTATATTATTTTCAACTCCGAACAGTTGGTGTTTCTTACCGCTAAAAAATATGGCAAAGCCCTCCTTAGCGACCTTGAACGAATAAAGTAAGTAGCCAGGTTGATTGACCATGAGATGCACTCTTGACAAAAGAAAATAATGAAGGTTATTATCAAGACTTGGGAATTCAACAACACCTCGTGCGCAATAAAAATGCTTTGAATCTTGTCACACAGGGGCAACTAGAGATCGTACTTAAAGTTTTGTCGATAATAGACCTAATCCTTACCCACATTGTCCATCGCATGCACCTATCATGAAATCTTTCGAAGAACAATGTTGTTGTCAAAAACGTATTTCCTCTACAAATCCTCCACATCATTCTCTGTCAAGAATGAAGGATCGACACTTTTAAGAGAGGTTAAAAAGGTGGAAGAACATTTGGGAGCCATCACAAAGAGCAAAAGCCGACTGAAAGACAAAGGAAAAAGAAGGAACAAATGCACAAAGAAAGAAATAAAAAAACATAAAGGATACAAAGTGGTCCCTCACCCTATTTATTGGTCAGGAGCATGAAATGAGGTATCATATATTGATAAATGTATATCCAAACATCATTTCATTTTATATAATGGTCATTTTGTTACAAGTAACATCATTATAGATCTTAAACAAAGTATTTTATAAATGAGTCTTCCAAAGCTTCAGTCGGGACGTACCCCTTCTCAGTCAATCTTTAGTGGACTAACTCTCTACCGAAACTAATTTGCTCCACTTGATCAACATTGTGTTGAAAATTCCGCAGAACTATTGACTCATGAAGTGATCCTAGTTTGTCAACCCGCTTTGTGAGGTAGAGACCTCTACTCGCAGTACCGCTACCTCCGAGTTTGTTGTGACCAGAAGTGCTGACAATTTCCACAATAGATCTTCCTTGGAACCTCCGTATGCTCCTTCTAAAGGATGGAATACACCCATCAAAGGTCTAACTACGTTCATTCGCTGGTTCATAAGTCCAGAGAAAAGCTGCCGCCAGTTACTTATTCTGCTAGGAGCTGTTGAAATGGCAAACAAGGTGAAAGAGTTGGATCAGTTGTAGGCAAAGGATCGAGAGGTCAATGCTCTCCTTCATCGACCAATGATAGAGGTGCGACGATCACACCTTACGACATTGTCGTATAGTAGGAGCAAATTCGGTCCCATCTTTCATGGTCCACCATTCTCGTGATCCTTTGACTTGAGCGATTCACCTACAATAAGATAATACCAAGAAATTACTAAAAAACATGAAAAATTAAAGAAAATACTCACATACTTAAAATAATGTCCATTGAAGAAAGGGTCTCTGAGAGCGCGTACCTCCCTTACAACAGGGTACCTTCATTTTTCTCTGGCGATGGTTGGGGAGAGCAGGATACTATCATTTCCTTCAACTCCCTTTCACTGACCACAATGCCTCCAGCAATCAGCCCTGCTGTCCCTCAACAGTCACACCCGTGCTAGGTCTGGGAGTCGGGGTTCTCTATCAAGGCTTTTTTAGTGTTTTTCCCTCAGAATACTTAGATGAGTCGAATTGATTAGCTGACAAAGGTTCGGGTATCAACTATTTTTCTTTCTTTATGGACCTTTTCATCTTTACATAGTAGAGATCAGAAAGTCCATCATAACTAGAAGTTCGAGATCCACTTTGTCTCAACTTGTACCATCAACAATGATATGCCTCAACTATCTAAGGATAGTTGGCAACAAAGAACGTAATGCCATCCCTCTTGGCCTATTTATAGGGCTCATTGTGCACAAAATCTAAAGGAAAGTTAAATATCAAATTAATTTTCTCAATTTTGGTGTCATTGATTGCTTAATAATTTCCCTGCCCTTACCGTAGCCGTCAATATCAAGGTGCAGGAAAACTCAAAAGATCAAATATGTATGTACCAAAACTACAACATGAATCTTAGAGTGATCAAACAACCAAGGATGATGACCAACCAATTAAAGTGTCTAACTGAAGCAGCATGATCTGAACCAACCATTCGATGACCTACTGCTCGATCTAGTTGGCTGACAAACAATGTCGGTGGATCCAATTAGCGAATGATGCTTATGGTCCCAGACACCTAAACTCTTTGTAAGGATGTTTGTTTGTAACCAGTCGACTGTTCGACTTTTCTTCAATAGGAGCAATCGTTAGGCGACTAGTCGCCCAAACTCAAATAAATCGGCCAACTGATAGCCGCTGTATTATTCTTAAATTGTAGCACAAATCTGATATTAAATTATCATATTATTTACATTATGGGTGGTTTCCATAATCGTTCCCTCTTTTATGTAAATGTACAAATAGGGCTTTATAAATAGGGGTCAGAAGATAAATAAAGAGACTTTTCCCCTACTTCTCTAACGGAAATTCTTTGACTACCCTGCTCTCTTTCTCTCTTCCACTAACTCTCGAGGCAAGTCTTACCAAAGGACAATCCAGGATTCATAGCTATTAAAATGTGCCGCAAAAGCAATTTTTAGCTATTTTTTCGTAGAATTTTTAAAATTTGGATCATACATCATACATCCAATTATATGTAATATTAGTACAAAATTTATATTGACAATCTATATGATTATGAATTGTATCAATGATCAACTAGTAACATAATTAGTTGTCTTAAAACTTTTAGAAGGCATGCTTTAAATGAACACAAGACTTATTGGATGAGTATAAGGTTTGATGTAGCTTTATGTTTTGCTCAAAATAGACAAGAAAATTGACCATTCAATATGAGTTTATCTTCAACATCTATATTTGAGTTATTATGGAAGTTAGTTGATAGTTCATAATATTCGCATGAGCGTTATTTTTGTATAATGCCAACATATTATAACAATCGTAATTGACTTGTGGTATATGTGTTGGCCAAAATGGGAGAACATATTTTAAGAACATTTGCTCTCAGAATATTCTCATATTTCTTTTGCATTGATTTCAGATAAAGTAACCCAAGTACTATGAGTTCATCACATTTAGTTTTCCTACTTCAACAAAACTACATATGCTTCTAATGATTAGGAATAGTTTGTAGTTTATACTATAGTAGTTTGCCTATCTTGCATGCATATAGGTCCTGCTCACACATGCACCCCTTTGAGTTCTACTCTTCATGTAAATTTTCCATCAAAGGCCTGCATGAAACTATTTATTTCTTCTGTAATAAAAAGTAAGGATTCTCATTGTTTGAGAGCCACGCAATAGAATTTGAAAGCCTTCTATTTAGATTGATTGAAATAAATTGTATGATACTTAAGAGGATTATTTAATTGCTCAATTAATATAGTAAAACATGTAATTGTTATGTGTATGTTGTTGGGCAAAGTTGTAATGAAGACTATGGTAGGAGACCAACGGGTTGGATGTTTTATGTATCTTATTCTTCCATCTTGTTTACTGTCCATTTATTATTTTTAGGAGATATCTGGAGAATTATTATGCTATTATGATTTTGCGTATGTTTCCATGCTTTTTTATAAGAATGTGATAAACAAGTCACAGAATTGGAAGAATGAGTAGTTGAAGGTTCCATAGATTCAACAAGAGTTGAACTCAAGAATTGACCCAGTTGAGACTCGAACCTAGGGCAGAGGGGACTTACGCTGAAGCTGCCTTCCAACAAGCCAAGATTGCACAAATCTTCATATATTTATAGATGTATGTATGTATGTTTGTCTGAATCTAATAGTTATGCTTAAGAATGAGATTTTGTACAATGGATGTTCATCAGTACATGCAACTGCACGGACGGTTCCCAATAGATAAGAACCAATAATAAAGTAGCACCATTTTACCCATTATTATAAATTAAATTTATATATCCATTCATATTTTGAGGATGTTAAATTGCATTGACTTAAAGCCTCCAATACAGGTGCCCTATTTTTTTGCTTCCATATTAATTAAATAATAAATTCATTTATATATACACACGCACGCACAGAGAGAGAGAGAGAGAGGGGAGGGAGAGGAGGGGGAGAGAGAGAGAGAGAGAGAGAGAGAGAGGGCTAATGAAGATAACCATATATTTCTCTATTTTTTCTCTTTCTGGCATGCCTCAGTTTGACTAATCAAGGATGAATTTTTTTAATAAGAAAGTATTATATTTATTATTTAATTTGAATAATCCAATTATAAACTAAATTACCTGGAACACATCTAAGTATTTACTAACTAATGTGCTACCGGCTTCGAACAACTACTGACCACATGATAAACGCTTCTTTAAGAACTCAACATGAACGCCGAATTTTTAGGTGAGCCATACCTAACCATCTCCCATGCTTCTCATTATCCGCTCTAACATCATCCATTTTGCAACTTGCACAATCAATTTTTTTTATTATCTTACAATTCAAATAACTCTCTTTGTCTTACAAAAACCCCCAAAAAATTACTAAAAACAAAAGGAAAAAAAAAAAAGAAAAGAGAGCCTAAGATTAACAAGAGAAACCAGTTCGTGGAGGCACATAGATAGCATCCAACATATATGTAGACATGCCAATAATTATACAAAAAAGATGAAAGAAATTCAAGTACTCTCATTCCTAATTTCAACATCTAAAAAAAGAAAGAAAAGGAAACAAAATTATAATAGATAACCTCTCAGTTGGTTTCAAGACTTCTATAATCCAGCACTCCTCTGCTAAGCCCAAGGAAGACACCACCACACTTGCATTCACCGCTGTTCTTCACACCCAATTTACAGCTGAAACAAAGACCCATCAAAGCTCCACCATAATCACAAATCTCCTCCTTTTTCTCATAAGGCGGGCTTATGCTGAGCTCCAGATTCAAATCTGGGCACCGCCACTTCATCTTCTTCTCCTCCTCCTCCTCCTCCGCCGCCGATCGCCTCCACATAACCATCATCTTCTCGCTATCATTACTGTTGCTGCTGCTACTGCTGCTGCTGCTCTTATTTCCACCTTCCTCTCGCTTAACCGAGTCCACCGCTTTCTCATCCCCTTTAAAGAAGGATATCGTGTTGCTCGCCTGTATCTCATGCAGAGGTCGGTGCGTCGCCGGATCTATCCCCCTGCTGATCAATTTTCGTTTTATGTGCGTATTCCAGTAATTCTTGATCTCGTTATCTGTTCTCCCCGGTAGCCTCGCAGCTATCAACGACCATCTGTAACAGACACAGGAACCCTAAATATCAGTATGAAAGCAAAATAGTAACAACAATAATAATAATAATTAGGTTTAGAAATTGAGAAAGATTTACTTGTTGCCAAGGAGGCTGTGAAGTTTGATGATGAGCTCATCTTCCTCCTCGGTGAAGTTCCCCCGCTTGAGGTCCGGACGAAGGTAGTTGATCCACCGAAGCCGACAACTCTTACCGCACCTGAGGAGGCTGGCGGCCTTGGGAAGAGATCGCCAGCAACCCTCGCCGTTCGCCTTGATATAAGCGATGAGGCGCTCGTCTTCTTCCTTAGTCCATGCTCCCTTGTTGGTGTGAGCTTTCTCACAACAAGGTGATCTTCCCATGATGATGTGAAGTCTTTTCTCTTTCTGTGTCTCTCTCTGAAGAGTTACTTGCTTAACACCAATTGAAGAGCTTGGAGGTGGGATAAGATATATAAGAGTTTGACTAGGAGAGAGAAAGGTGGGGAGGGATTTGATTAAAATTATAGGGGGCTTCTAGAAGAGATTTGGTAAGAAAGAAGGTGGGGGGAAGAGGAAGGAGAGTGGATGTTGGTAGGCTATTAGTTTTTCCTTCTTGTTGCTGATGATGACATGAGAAGATATTGTGTTACCAGTTTAGAAAGGAAGAGTTAAATTCATGGAGAAATATTATATTAGGTTATGGTAGGTATGGGATGGGATACCTAATTAATTAAAGGAGGATGATGAGGGCTGATTCAGGTGTTATCTTGTTTGGGCGGTTATTATTTATTTTGCTCCATTTGCCATTGGCCCACTTCTGCTCTTATTTGTGTGGAGCTGAGCGATGATCACATAAGATATGTTGTTCTATTCTAAAGATATGTATCTAGGTAGGTTATTATTTATCTTCTTTTTTTTTTCTTCTTTTTTTCATTAATCTTGAGTGAAGAAGTTTAATCAACTCAACTACTCATGATATGCAGTTATGACGTTTTTTTTATTATTTTTATTTTCTTATGATGAGGGCTTCTGGCACTGCTTCTAAATCTTACCTAATTAAAACAGTATTGTTATGTTGATAAGAAATTATTTTTAACTTTTTCTTTATTTTAATATGATATTTGAGAGTTTATTATTATTATTATTATTATTATTATTATTATTATTATATATATATATATATATATATGTTTATGGAGATTCAAAAAATTTTTATTTTTCTTTGGGCAATTCTTATTCATTTACATGTCTAACATGTAAACGACAATTTTTACATTTATAAAACTCAAATCTTTAACATCACATCAAAAGTAATACTTTTACTTATATTTTAAAAGTCAATTTCATCTTTTTTAAGCATAAGTTTGCAACACTGTAGTGTTATAAATGTAAATACTAAATTTTATGTGCTAGATATGTAAATCCAAAATAATTTTGTGGTAGGTATGTAAATTTTCCTAATTTTTAAAACAACCATATAGATAGATAGATAGATATATGTCTATATATATATATATATAGAGAGAGAGAGAGAGAGAGAGAGAGCGAGAGAGAGAGAGAGAGAGAGAGAGAGAGAGAGAGAGAGAGAGAGAGAGAGAGAGAGAGAGAGAGAGAGAGAGAGAGAGAGAGAGAGAGAGAGAGAGAGAGAGAGAGAGAGAGAGAGAGAGAGAGAGAGAGAGAGTGAGTGAGATTATATGCCTATAAAATCACTTTGTACCTAACTTCACATATCATTTATAATTTGATTTCAAAGCCCAAAAAGATGACTTTTTTTTAATTTATTTTTGCTGTTTTGGGACTGATGTGTAATCATAGGAGTCACTTAAAACGCTCAAGGCCTTTATGGAGAAGTTAGTAGAGATTGTTCCTCTCAAATTAGAATATCTTAGCTCAAAGCAAACTCTAATAACCGTTACTAATCATTAATTTCTTAGCTAAACTGGTATAACAATTATATATATGTAAATATAAATAATATACTGTATATAACACTAGTCATAAGTATTTACATATCAAATTAGAAAAAAATTATGATGCGAGCAAAGTCAAAATCAAAATCTGAACCGTTCGTTGGCTTAGAAACCTTGATTGAAGTGATCAGTACCAAGCCAATTAAGTTCGTTCAAAATATCGCATTATTAGTGTCCATAATAATACAAGTTGAAAATGAAATGTAACCATACTCTATTATTGAACTTGTATGGTTAAGGAAATACTGACTTGTTACTCGGCGGAATGGTAAAGCTTTCTCACAAGATTATGTCATTAATCTTCAGATAGAAAAGTAGAATAATCTTACAGGGATTGCTGACCTCAAACATGCAACTAATCATTAAAAAAATTAATTTTTTTAATTATTTACATCAATCTTTTTAGTTGTTGCTGAACAAAATTTTCAAACATGCGCTAGGCTCCATGATGAGAGCCTGCGCCATGTCCCTAAAGATTTGAGAACGCAGCGCCACTGGGGATCGAACTCGTGACCCGAGAGGACATACAGTGAACCCCGCCAACCAACAAGCCACGGCTTGCAACACACACACACATATATATGTATGTATGTATGTATATATGGGGTGTGTGTGTGTTTTACTTTATTATGTAATTAATAGTTTCTTTTTGGATTAAATAAAAGAGTTTTCCTTTTATGCTTTCTGTGAATTAAATTTTATTATTAAAAAGAGGAGTCCATAGTACATAACACTAAGTTTAGCAATCTGTGGTGGATACCTTCTTGCTTTGTAGTTGCTTAGTACACAACAAATTGTTAGGTACGTGATGTAGGAGAAAATATCTCTACCCACCTCCATTCCACGTAGCCATCATGGAGTCCACATATATTTGCCTTCATTAATTCTAGAAGATAGCCTAATTAACTATTTAATTACAATTATTTATTTCAAAACTCCTTGTTTTCTTAAAGCATGTTTAAATAAACCTACAACTTATAGAGTTGGGTAAAAATAATAGTCGGGAAGGTATGAGAAGATTTGAAAGGTTGTGTGGTGGGGAGGATTTTTAGGTGAATTTTATAGTATCTACCTTTTTGGTTTGTATTCAATTATATTAATAGTAACATAATTTTAATGAATGACAAGATAGAATACTATATCTGAAATATAAATCAGAAGTAAAAAGCATACAAGTGACATAGAGAGAATCACAGTAAGTGATGTTTTGAAATGGTAGTTAGAGCCAAAAATTATTTTTGAGGCATTATTTTTTATTTTTTAAAAAGTTGTAAATCAAAATATAAAATTAAAACAATTTAAATTATTTTCTTAAAATTTTGATATGTTTTTTTAGTAATTAAATAACTTGGGTCAATAAAAGTACTCGTCATCTATTGGTTAAGGAATACTTTTATATAAAAATATTATGTTCAGAACATTTTATTGCTCAAAAGTTTCAATATATATATATATATATATATCATTTCTTTTCTAGAGCATGTGCTAGCAAGTTTGTCATATTACTCTTAAGTTTCAAATATTGATGCTTGGGGAAGTGGGGCTGGTGAAAAAGTAGGTTTAAAAGTGTTAAAAAATGACTTACGATGGACTTGATACAAGAAATTAAGTGCTAGTAGCCCTACTAACATACTGTTTGGGTTTGGGTTTCAAATTTCCATTTATTTTATTTTTAGGTTATTTTGAGGGTGACCGAACTAACTTCCTATTTTGAATTGGGTTTTGAAGTTTAGCCTATTTAATTTCTATGTTAGCTAAAAGGTAGACTTGAAAATCTACTTTTAATCAAATTTGATCCAAATTTAATCCAAATTTAGCCCTAAGACCCGAACTTGACGAGCAAATTAAATTTGATCATTAATTGACGTATAAAATCAATTTCTTATGTAAATGGCAATCATGCCCTATATTAAATTAGTTATTTGGGTTAGCCGCACTATAGGGAAAACAACTGAAACCGACAGAAAAATTGATGTTCTAATGTGTGCAGGAACATTTGAGTTTATTTCTAACAATTTTTCAACTACTATAAAAGAACTGAGTTTTCAATGAATTTCCTACAACTTTCTTATAAGTGAGCTGCATTTTGGACAGTCTCGAGATAGTCACCGATGGTTTGAACCTTTTGTTCATAGCAAATTATAAAGTGATAGGCCTAACTCATTGGAAAGTTATCCCATAGTTTCTTCAGTCATTAATAACAATCATTGGAACCGAAGGTGAAGCCTGTATGTTATTAAGAAATTATTAGCCAACGATCATGTGACTATTGGAAAGTCATCGGAATATTTTCTTATATCGAACTAACGTCTGAAATTCCTTATTTTCATTCTTGCGCGCTCACCTGGCCATTGGAGCTGATCGAAGACACTTAGACCACATTTTTACTAGGGTTTACGCTTTTTCTAGTTCTTATAGTCAAATCGTAAGTAAACTTGGTTTCATTTTTTCTCTAAGTTTTTATTTAGTTTGAACTATTAATTTTCATACATTTTGATAATATTTTTGGATAAATTTGAAATTTTGATTCAATTTTCTATTGCTTTGGCAATGTATTTAACTGTTACATACTTAAGGCTCATCTCTTAGGTCTTCCCCTATTTAACACCTAAATTTTAATGTGGAATTTACATACCTAGAACACAAATCTTATGTTTTATCTAACTCACACCTGCGCTTTGATATTTACATACATGACACTTTTATTTTTAAATCCATGCATAAAAATGTGTACTTCAATTTTAAGAATTGAAAATTTTGAAATTGATGTTCTTGACATGATCTTAAAGTTTATAGCACTATGGGTGTAAATATCAAAGTTTAGGTTTGAGATATGTAAATACTTAAAAATTGTGAGTTAGAATGCCCCTTTTTAAAGGTAAATTGACATCCCTAGCACACAAATCTTTTATTGTTAGGTATTTTGTGTCTAAATTTTTGTACTTACATACATGGAACTTTGATGCTTTAAATGTATGCATGAAAAATGTGTATTTCACTTTATTAAATGCAGCACTACTGTTATTTCTGATGTGATATTAAAATTTGGAGAGTTATGTGTGAAAATATCAAAGTTTAGGTTTAAGATATGTAAATACATCAGAATTGTGTGATATGATATGTGTGGCACTTTGGTGCTTTAAACCAATGTATGAAAGGTGTTTTTCAAATTTAAAATATGTTTTTGATGTGATTTTAATGCTTCAATTGCTACGTACATAAAAATGAAAATTTAAGTTTGAGATATGCAAATTCATAAGAATTGTATGATATGCATGGAAAAAGTCCATTTTAAAAGGAAATCTACATACCTACCACACAATCCTCATGTATTTATGTATCTCTTAACTGAACATTCATATTTATATACATTGGACATCTGTGCTTTAAATCTGTACTAAAATGTGTTTTTATTCTTTAAGAAGAGATAATAGTGATTTCTTAATGTGAATTTTATTGTGACTTAACTAATTAAGATGAAAATATTATTTAGAGTATTGATGAAGAGAGTGAAATGAGAGAATTATGATATTTTGTTTTACAGTTTCCATGCTCTTTATTTTTCTATAAGGGCAATGATTTATGGTCAGTAATCGATCTCTTTTTTAGGAATGCTTGCCTATTTTGTTGCTTTGTTAAAGAACATTTGAAAAGCTT